AGGTCAGGAGAGTATATGCGGCACTTTACGGGTCTGAAAAGTTATTCTGTATGCGATCCTCAGCATCGGCTGAAGGGGAAGGAGGACAGGGTCGGTGGGGTGGTGGGAAGCGGAGTCATGAGAACAACCACAAGATTCAGTAAAGTTGAAACATCACTTACGCAGAGTGGGGACAAATAAGATGCTCCTAACTGATCGAATATGCCCCCCCTCTCCCTCCAACCGAATGCGACCTTGCCCCCATGGATTAAGCAAAATGATGTTCGCTGAATGGGGAGAGTGCTGATTTTGGAGCACTTTAACATTTGTGAGGGCAGGGAGTAGATGGCGCCTACCGTAATAGGCCCTACTAGAGCTAACTCGAATTGGTAGAAGCTTATACCCTTGATCTGGTAAATTATAACCAGCTCGGACCTGAATTCGACAGTGGCAAGCCCCTTCTTCAGCAAATGGCTAAGCAGAAATTCTTTTGACTCTTAATTTTTGCAGAATTTTTTTTCGTGAATTTTGACACCTCGGCTCACGTCCGGGAAGATCCACTGTTGGACGTCAGTTCTTCCTATATGGAGTTTCGAAGCTCTCAACTGTATGCCCATAAAGTACCTGCACTTGAGAGCCTCAAAAGTCCCTTTTGATGGCTGGTAACATCCCCTCTTAAAATTGGTAACCCAGGGCTACCACCTTACGTGTAGCTGGCCCTCAAACACCAACTACCAGGTTGCCTGCACTAGAATCTTTATCATGGCTAAATACTCTATAGACAGTTGTCATGTTCTCCGAAGCAGGGCTTCCACTGACTGCAGCTGGATTAGCTCAGTGGACCTGTAAGTGTGAGGCCCAGGTTCAAGTCCGGCTAGAGTCAAGATATTTTTCAACGACTTAGCGTTCTTCTAGTGATGACCAATGAGTCTGATGTCCCTTCAACTAGCAACAACTGAGGGTAGGCCGACAAAATATCATAACTCTTTGGAAAGGTGGTTTAAGAGAGCCACTTTTCTGGACTTTGTTGCCGCCTGTCAACCTTTATATTTATGCAGTGCTATTAAACATCCTCGAGTACTCATAACTGACTAACGGTCGACATATGATGTGTTCTACGCGAGTATAAACGGCCATTCATCTAAGTGATAGCAGCAAATCCCCTCGCCAACACCACCGACCGCAACGCAATCAATGCGCTTACACAACCATCAGCAAACTCCTCGATTCCGAGGGTAACGGGTCGACGACCACCGTCAGGTGGTGTGCGATGTGTGTCGTGTGGAGTTGGAAGTGAAATGATGGGTGAATTGATCGTCGAGATCGATACCTCTGCTAACACCACCACCACCCCTGCCACCACTATCAGCTTGATCAGCGCTCAGCGACAAGTCGGAGCGCTACAGCGATGGTGGCGGCGCCGTTCGACTACGACCAAGATGCCGGTGCTTATAAATCAGTCGCAGCACTCACTCATATGTCAGGCGCGCACGTCACACAACAGATGTTTTCATTTTCAAATTCAGCATTTATATCGATCGTGTGGATTACGGTAGCAGCGAAAAGTCTGTGCACACTGACCTCCATCGAATTTGGCATCGCTCGGTTATTCTCGGGCAACGGAACGGATTGAGGCTCGTATGGTGGTTGGAAATGGCTGAAACAGAATCGTACACTTTATGCAATTTATTCTTCTATACAGAAAGACATGGCGCAGTTCGGCGACGGGGGGGGGCATTTTGCACCTTATTTGCTTCACTTCTGGTTTACAAGTCTCACTCTGGTGAAACCTGTGAACTCTTGTGAAGCTGGAGCAAGCTCGTCAAGCCATCATGGTAAAACCTGTCAACTCGAGAAGAGGCTGTCTAGATGGGTCGACACGTCGATGGGAAGTAGCAAAGTGCAAAATGCCCCCCCCCCTGCGCCGTCGCCGAACTGCCCCGAAAGACATTTACCTCATAGGAGTTCCCATACTAGGACTAGCAGACTGTGCGGTAGATCCAGGAGACATGGGTGGTTGGGAGGATGAGGCTCGCTCATCGCCGACGATGTCCATCGGCATCTTCCCTTTCAGACACGTAACGTAACGGTTGCAGAAGTTGTCGCAAAGTTCATGGACCTGTAAGGAAGTTCATTAGGTTCACCCGAGAAACAACTGCAATTGAAGGAGATGCATGGAAATAGTGGGAGACAACGTGCAAAGGCTCAAGTACACGAAGTAATCTGCAAGTGTTGGCGCAAGCGATTAAGGAACGAATGCAAATTGTAGTGATTAACTGATATGCCACGCCGGCCCTATAAAAATGTTAAAAAATGGTCCCAAGGGAGCTCGAAGGACGGAAGGAGGCTCCCTTCTGTAGGAGGGCGCTCTTCGAACTTCCCATCTGCCGTTAGCCTTGGTTTTTATATGACGGCTTCATGTTTATACTATTAAATCCCCAATCATCGTCACATGGCCTTAAATCTTCGTACACATTAGGCTACTCTATATTTATCAATTTGGACTATCACGTAAAAAGCTTCTTAGCAACGACGAAAGTGGAAACGTAAGCTATTTCATAACAATTATCAGGGATGATTACTAATGCTGCAAAATGATCCCTTCTTAATCTAGAGAAAATCGTGTTTCATCACCCTTGATGGGGGATCAGCCGACATGAGCTTAGTTGCTGACGACATTGTATCACCTTCTTTTAAGATGCTTCTACCGACAGAAGCAGACCATAGATCACTTCTGTACTGAAGCTCCCCCATCGGGGAGCCGAACAGGTCTGCCGGTCAGTGTATTCAGCGATTTTGGGAGTTCCCACCTCGAAGAGACCTTCAGGGCCTACTTTCAATATGAATAAGGATTCTATGGAGGGTTTATAATCCAGGAGTTCCCCACTTCGACGGTAACGTAGAGCCTTTCAGAATTCTTATTCTGTAGAATTTTCACACTTTCAAGATAAATATTTAGAAAATTGTTTGGCCCAGTAGCACCCACTGAGTGCTGCGATATGCTTACCTAATTGAGAACGGGGCACGTCCTGCCGCTGAGGAGAATTCTTGGAAAATACGACCCACCTTCTTCCTCATCCTATCTATCATTTTTCCAGATTTTTCCAGCTTCCTATTCTACGGAATTTCTCAAAAAATTCTCAGTGTTTCTCCAAAATTTTTAGACGTGAGAAACGGGAAAACCGCGAAAAGTCAACAACGGGGAAAAATTTCACCCCACCGCAAATTTCCCTAAATGGCAAATACGACCTCCCTCTCCCAGCGACTAGCAAGTACGATCCCTCCCCTAATAGCGGCCGCCGTGAAACAGGAACAATCAGTTAAGAAGAAAATTTTTGGAACCAAATACGACCTCCCTCGCCCCCCCCCCCCCCAGCGACCAAACGACCAAATACGACCCCAACCCGCTGGGGATTCCCCGACGTACGACGTGGTCTGGTCGAGAAGAACGATGCTAGAGAAAGAGAGTAGTTTAGTCAGACAATTTTATCGCCGCCAGGAGGAGATATTCTGCTTGCAGATTGGTGGTACCCTACCTATCGGGATACTTGTACGACTCCCCCTCAGCAAGTTCCCAATCGCTTCTCTTTACCAGATCGCTTCAGCCAGCTCTTCATGTTCCACTGACAGGTGCATCCATTATGAAGTTGTCATTTGTCACAACGATTTCGCTAGTAAATCAATAAAGACTGTCAGCGGTCTGGAGATGAAGACAAATCCGCTGCCGTGTCGTTGCCTGAGACGTTGGGCCGTACGTCTCGCCGCCGCTCAAGTCGTTCCATCAAAGTTTCACGCGCGCGCCTCTCCATCGTCGTCGTCTGTCTGATCGATAGACCATCAACGATGTCATTATAGTGACAAAGTGATACGTGTTACCGATTATTTATGTAGCATTTTGATCGAAAACACTAGCGCTCTGCCCTCAGTATCGATTCCTGGACCCCTGGACTGCTTGCTCACTAAGCAACCGACTGAATTGTCTGAACGCGCCTTATTATGACTTCAACAACGACGACGGCGACGTCGACGACAACGTTCCAATTCGGAGTGGATCACGTTGAAACGACAGGGTTGCGCGACGACGTCCCGCAGCGCACGCGCAGCGCCATGTCAGAGAAATCCAATGAAATAAAAACGAATGAGGAAATGTGTTTTCATTGGACGAAGTTGGGTTGAGGCCGAAAAAGAGGTGAACGCCGTTCCGTGCTGAGACACCCACCCGCCAAAAAGCCACTGAACGAAACAATCTCCCGGAAACAAGTGGGGAGATAACGACCAATTGATAAGTGGCATACAGGTGCATGAGTCTTTTGGGAGCACGACTGCACTTGTACAGGTAGAATAGGAAAAAAGCTGGTTCAGCATGAAGAGAGAGGAGGTTAGGGTCCAGCAGAGGGAGAGAAGACAACGATCAAAATCAATTTAGACGTGAAATTTGAGCAACACGAGTGTGGAGAATGACAAGGATAGAAGCAGGCATGTTAAGAAACTAGCCAGTTCAATCCTGCTTGCACAAGAAAAGTTCTGACTGTGTTATGTGAACAGGGCACTCGAACAGAGCACTTTGGGAATCCTCAGCGGGGGGGGGGTAGTACTTGCCTCTACGAGAAATCCGTCGCGAGGCTAACAATTTTTTTCTGCTTGGAAATCTCGGAAAATGTGGTAGGAGGTTGGGGAAAGTTGGTGGACGGGGAACGGGGAAGGCCGCCAGCAGAGGACGAAGTTTGGGGAGGGTGGTTGGTTGAAGTTTTTCCCAGTGGCAGGAGGTACCGCCAAATCCTTGACCCAAATGGCAGGTTATTTTCCGAACTATTCGGACCTCAGAGTTCCCTAAGAAGATTTTCAAATGAGAGAGAAGAAGAGCTGGACCTGAAGTCCTGAAAAAACCCATCTGAGCTCACCTTTTCCAGCTCAAGTAGATGGAAACGAAGCATCTGAATCGACTGCAGCATGAGATTGTCGAGTTCTCGGTTCGGTACATAGAAAGTGTTCTCCATTTTTACCTACCAATAGAAACCCGTAATCGCTGATAATTAAAAAGAAAAATTCAAAGCAAAAATTGACTTACAGTTTTAGCAAACTCGGCGAGGTCTTCTTTGAATGAGCTTGATGAGCAGACGTCATTGCTCGACGTTCCGTCACGATTCTGCTCGCGAGGAGTTGATGTGGCCAACTCGCACTTCTCGAACAGCACGGTCAGGAGCGGAAAAAGTGGATGCCTGAAAATGGCCAAGCGTTAACTCGACTTGCCGCTCTTAGCGAAAAAAGCCCTGAAAAACGAGTACAGAGCTAGCAAACTGCTCGTCCCAAGGGAGTTTTCTTGCAGAGATTCCACTGCAAGCTCCCTAGTCGAAATGTTTCAAGATAAACTCACGAATGAATAGCTGCCTTGTCGCGCTTCACTTGTTCATCGAGATGAGGATGCATCATCTGATCGCTTGTCGACATCGGTCCACCAAGCGGGTACATGCTGTTGTAGTAGGGAGCCATATTCCCGGACGGATCCGTAGGTACCGGGTAGGAACCTTCGCCGGGAGGAGCGGGAGGTCCGTAACCATCGCCGTACTGAACGACAACCATTATTGATTCAAGCGTTGGGAAATGTTGAAAGAAAGTATTGTGAGAGTCGCGCTATCTACTGCTTTGGATGTCGATCTCATCTCTCTGTGAACGGGGAGATTTACAGCCTTAGCGACGAGCTGGAACGCCAGAAGATGCGACTTTCAGGGTCGATGTTCGTTTTGTCTACCGCATTGAATGAAACCATATGAAGGGTTGCTTTGTTGCTGTTTAGTATAAACTGGAATTTTACTGACATTTTCGAAAGAGCGCACGAAAAGTGGAGAGGTGAGAGATGAGAGAAAAGCGGTGTAGCAAGGAAGCAAGCAGTGCGGTCATAAAGCCGGCATCAAAGTTATAGCCTATTGAGCTGTCTCCTCTGACACGTAGCTTAAAATATAGTCGACCGAATGGCAACGCGATGAAACGCGAAGCAGAGGCACGGGATGGGGGATGTTGTTCATCGTGACGACGACGACGTCTGAGAGCAACGAGGACGACGTTTCGCTCTGTGAGCGCCGCACATGCGATAAATAACCGCATATGTTACGCGGTGATATTTCAAATACGCAACGACAAGTCGTGAATAAAATGGAAAGAAAGAATGAATGTCTAATCGGAAAATATACCCTGTGGGCCATGCCTGGTGGGCACACACACGACGACGGTTGGGCGGGGACACGAACTCGCCGACGAACTGACGGCGTTGACGGATGACGACGGGCTGGACGACGCGTTAGCCGCTGCGCTACGTGGCGATGGTGTGCTTCTTTTCTTGCAAATACAGATGAATATGAGGTGACAGCTCTCTGACGATGTTTCCGCGAGCGCTTCGCAACAGCCGCACAGGCAACGCGCGCGGGCCGCCACACGTGACCCCGCCCCCGGTGACGGCATCGCGGCCAATCAACGCCCTCGACCACGCCCACGACTGCCATCAGCCTTACGGTAGTCGGGAGAGCATTGATTGTGAAGTCGGCAACTTATTCTAAAGGCAAATATCTTTCCACTCATCATGTCGCTGCCACCGTAGACATACACCAATTATGATGGGTAAGGACATAATTCCGATTATAATCAATCAATGCTGAAGTGATGCTGATTAGGGGAATAAGCACGAGAGATATAGTGATACGGCGCGGCCCATCGAACTGGTTTGGGAACGCCGCGCAATAAAATGTGATAGATTAGAGAGTTATCCGGGCGCCCGCTGAAAAATAGCCTTCACTCTGGGGTCCGAGCAGAGTGAAAATTGAACTCGGCCAGCGCTTTTGCAGATTCACCTATTAACCTGTCCACGAATTTACTGAAAACCTTCTTGTAAACAAATAAAAATGATGTGTATCCCACGTATCCTGCTCACCTCGATCGGATCCGCTTTTTCGAGCTTGACGAGACTCGCTGATGAGTCACTGATCGGCAGAGCTGGAGCTGCCACAGGGAAAGCTCCAGAAGGAAGCGGAGCATGAAACTGCCACATATCCATGGCTCCAGGCCACAGTTGAGGCTCAGACATTCTGGAAGAACGAGTGTTAGTGGGATGAAAATGCAAGGAATCTTTCATCTGATGAGACGGATCATTAAGAGACAAGGCTAGGATACCCAATCAAGGCACGTCCTGCCGCTAGGAAAAATTTTTCGGAAAACACGCCCGCTGATTTCTCCTCCTGCTTCGACCCCCCTTCCAACTTTTCCACGCTTCCCACAACTGGTACCGTAATTCCACAGAAATTTTCCAGTTTTCCCCTAAATCAGCAGTCGAGCAGGGGAGGACGTCGCTAACCAACTTCCAACTGAACGTCACTAATAAAGGGTGAAGTGGTTTTTTTTTCTTTCAGACCAAATACAAGCCCGCTCCCTCCAGCGATCCGACCCCCTCATTGCTAGGGATTCTCCAAGGTATGAAACACGTGCCTTGTATCCAAAGCATGAAAACCTGCTCAGGCATGATTAGCAATGAAGAAAACGTCAGCAATTTTTCAACGACTGCCAGATTTGCAGAAATATCAAGCTAGGTTTAAATGTAGGATATTCAACGTGCAGCTGATTATCTCCAAGATAAGCTAGGTACAAGCTGTACAAATTGACGGCAGATGAAATCATGGCATGAGCGAGGCCCTGGGTGGGCAAAGGTCACCCAATGGCAAAGTAGTTGGCTCTAAAATTCAGTAAACAAGTAAACAGGGCGAACATGCCCGCCGTCATCTCATGCATTCATTGCATCAAGTGCCTTCGTGCAGCGTCAATTAATTCCACTTAGATTAATGCTAGCGGACAAGGGGCAGCACTAGACGTTATTGCTCAATGCTGTGCTAATCACTAAATTATAGGGTGTACCCATCTAAGCGATGTTTAGGAACGTATACATTAAAAATGTCCCCCCTTGACAGATACAGTATCTTTACTTGTGTGTTGCTTATAAATGATAAATCTGTATATTCTTTGGGATGTCTCCAACTGGAGGCTCCCTCGATGAGGCGCATTTTACACTCATGCAAGGGGCAATTGTTCCCCACCTATGATGCGGCACCGAGATTGAAACGGGGTCGCATTTGAACCCACAACGAGCGTGATATCTCCCAGTTGGCGCTGTTACCCCATGGAAGCACAGCTGTTACACCCAGTGAGGCAATGGGGGCTGAACCGCTTATGGCAGTACATTCAAGGCACAGTACTGTCACTGAAAGAGCGCTGCTCTTTAGTCTTCTAGATTGTTGCTAGATATCGCAACATTTCTAAATGCCTTGAAAAAGCCTTATCACATTCCAGGACAAGACATATCTTTTGCTTATTTTTGGGAACAGAACGACGGGCTGCGAAAAGGATCGATCGAGGTAAAAAATTTCCGACATCGTACACGACGTCGGCTCGGAACCGATGATTGATGCTAGGTATGAACACGCACAGGTGTGCACTAAGGCTAAGCATGGGTTTAGTTGACCGTCTATGACCTTAAATGGGTCCGTTAGACTTTTTGAGAGGTTTTATCTTGCGAATTCGAGGAGGTTCGTCAATACATCAAGAAGTTGTGTCAAGCAAAAGGTGTGGGAACAATTGATAGTTGACAGCAAGTGCAACTCTCCCAGTGGGTAACTCCATTTCCTATGGCCCAGTGGTTTCTGTAGATTAATATCGAATTAATTCCCCGTCAAGTACTGACAACTTATTGTGCTGGAAAATTAATAGCTGGTAAAAAAAACGAGTCGCAAGGTAAAACTGCAGAGTGAGGGGAGGGAACGGAAGGCACACTGGTAACAGGGGATGTCACTACCGAGAGGTAATGGCAGGATCTTAAAATCGCATTTCGTGGTAAAAATGGTTTTATAAAGAGCACAAAAAGGTATGTTTATCGAGAGAGGGGCCAAGAAGGTTAGAAAACGCAAGCTGCTTGGGGAGGAGGGGCTTCATACGGCTTCTTGTGCAAAACTGGGATGGCCACCATCAACATGAGGTTTTTGGCGAATGCTAGAAGACGCGGAGCTCCGGTGTGCGTGAATCCCTTTTCCGTTCAAGGAAAGGTAGCGCATCAGTACAGTCTCGGTTTGTAGCGGGAACTTTTGAAGGCATCCCTACTCCTTAGCCCCCCCCCTCCTCCATCCTTAGCACTGGAAGTACTGAAGATGTCTTACACCGCTACTCCCTGGCCATCCACCAGCCCCCCCCTCCTCTCTCCCCCACTCAGCAAAGGAAATACTGAAGGTACATAATACAAAACAGTGCCGAATATGCCAAAAAGGCCTGAAAAATTCCAAAAAGCATTCACGAATGTACGACATCGAAAAGAAACCGATATTTCAGACTGAGCAGGACTGTAAGCATGACAATCTAGGAGTTGAAGCCCCCCAACTGCACTATCAATGAGCGAATTTCCAGAGGGAACAGCTCCGTCCTTGACTGGAAATGCCAAAATGTAAAGGCCCGTGTTCTAGGCGGCTTTGCAAGCCATTGAATCCATTAAACACTTAGAGCCGTGCTAATAGCCGATCAGTGGAAAGAACGTCTGGGCAGTACTCTGGCGTGGTGGCTGTGCCAAAGCGTTAATGAATTAATCAAACATATAAATCGCTAGAAACGAGCCGCCGCGTACAAACATTATGATAGGTGAAATTGATACAGGTGGATAAGCCTATTAGTGCAGTTACGAGTGATTGAGGGCGTTTCTTAGCGATTTGATGAGGAGAGGGGGGTGAACGAGCGCTCGCTCGAGCTCGTCTGATCTCACCGACACTCGCTCGGGTCAGCAATTAACCTCTAATTGGTGGGAAGTTCGAGATTTCACTAGTGCGCTGAGCTGGGAACGATAATTGATGCTGCTATCAGCAAGATCAGATGAGATACGTGTTTGGCCCCATGTTCAACCCATAAACAATGACATTCGTTTTCACCCAAGTGTTCATTACCTGGGTAAACCAAGTATGGGCGCATGCTTTCGGAGGCGGTTTGAACAGCCGTAAAAGTAGCATATATGAAAACTGGTAAGTATTATTCCGAGAACAGAAGGCTTGACAAAGCCCTACTTTAGGTAAAAGAGTGGTCATTAGGCACAGTTCGGCGACGGGGGGGCATTTTGCACTCCGAGCCATCTAGAGAGCTCTTTCATGAGCAAGACAAGAGTTGACGGGTTTTACCATGGTGGCTAGACGAGCTTGCTCCAGCTTCACAAGAGTTCACAGGTTCACCAGAGCGGAACTTGTGAACCGGAACTAGTAAAGCAGTGAAGGTACAAAATGCCCCCCCCC